CGGCGCTGAGCTGAGCGAGCCATTCCTAAGGGGCTCGGTCGGGATTTACAGAGGGTTTGTACGGAAACCTCCAACTGCTTTCCTGGAGCTGGCCAAAAATTCCTGTCGATAGGGAACGCCTGGTTTATTTCCCATGAAATGTCTGGTTTATAAATACAAATCATGTTCCCTGAACCCAAATTATTCATCTGAGTGTTTGGGCACAGGTGATAATTCAGACCATGTTGGGGATTGTTTCCTATCAGCACGACTTGTTGCTAAGCCAAGCAAAGGAGCACGAATTCTTTCAATCCGTGCCTTGCTCCTTTCCACCGCGCTCTTCTGTCCCCGTTCGTAAAGACGCTGCCGTGGCCGGGAGCCGATGGGTTATGGGAAGGGGGGTAATGGCAGGAATGTGACCCACGTCTCTCCCATGTGTTGCAGCAGGAAATCTGGTGAAATCTAAGTCCTGGGAGAGCTCCTGGCATTGTCCAGCAGCTGCTCTGAGCTTCAAGGGAGCAGCACCCTGCTCTGAGCTGGGGTGGAAGGAGAGCTTCAACATCGCTGCATAGAAATGCAAACAAAATGCAGCCCTGCAACAGGAAGGAAAAGTCTCAGCATTTGGGGTGAAATTTTCAGAGGTGCCAGCTTTGGGTGCCTCAGCAGCCTCCTGGGGTTCAGGAAGGCCCGTGCTATCAACACCACAGGCGCAGTGTGTCAGAAATACAGCTGCGAGCGCTTCGCTGATCTCGTTACTGACAGGTGGACTCCAGTGTAGTGAGCAGGCCAAAAAACGGCTTGGTTTGCAGGCCATATACGTGCACTGCCGCCGCATCAATGTCCAGTGGGATATTTATAAAATCTTTGCACTTTTGCCCTTCCTTTTCGTGCCTGTAAGGGATCTTCAGGCTCCAAAGCTGCTTGCACAGAAGCAGCAGTGATTCTCTTGCAAGGAAATCCAGTGGCTGCTGTCGTTGCTTGCTCGGAAAAAACGCCCAAACCCTCCAAATTCACGGTGCCCGCTCTGAAATTTGGCCCTTACTTCAGCTTAACGTCAGATGATTGGAAAGCTCCTGAGCTGATGCTAGACCAGAAGCAAATTGCTTTTATGAACTGGGTTACAAAGGCAAGTCTGTATTAGCCCACATATCGATCGATTCCTGCCCAAATTACCCAGCTTCCTCAACCTTCTGCTGTACAAAGTAGCCTTTGGACTAAATCCTGGTGTAGCCAAGCCTGGAAATAGTAGGGAAAAGAGATTGGCGGACATACGAGCGGCTCTTTGCCTGATAAAAAGAGAGAAGGAAAATGGATTGTCATTTTCATAGAATCATAGAATCACAGAATCACAGAATGGGTTGGGTGGGAAGGGACCCCCAGAGGTCACCCAGCCCAACCCCCCCGCAGGAGCAGGGACACCTTGAACCACATCAGGTTGCTCACAGCCCCGGCCAACCTGGCCTGGAATGGTCCCAGGGATGGGGCCTCCACCCCCTCTCGGGGCAACCTGTTCCAGTGTTTCACCACCCTCATTGTAAAGAATTTCTTCCTTAGATCTTGCAAGGGCACAAAAACCAAACCCTGGTTCATATTCAGCCTGGCACCCACTGTAACCTCTTTAGTCTACGAGTGCATTTTGCGGCTGATTTTGGCATCTACCAACAAGCCTGCATCAAACTTTTTCCCAGCATCTGTGCCGAGAACCTGGCTGGTGCTGTCATCATGCCGCACTAAACACAAGAACCGAGGGTAAGCGCTACGGAGCTGGTGTAGTTTTTCACACCATATTGGAGGTTGAGACCTGCCCCAGAAGCGTGTCGGTGTAGCAGGATCAGCAAAAACTGTCACTGGAGGGGGGGAGTGGAGAAAGCTCACCAACGGCGTTTTGAGGAGGAGAAGGAAAGCAGTCGCCTGGCGAGCAGGGCGGGAGGAGGGTTTGAGCTTTAGGCTGACGTCCCAGCTCTGCTCTTGACCTGGTAGGTGACGTCGGGTGACTTCCTCCTTAGTCTGCAGCAGAAAGCCTCGAAGCTGCTGTCTTTCGCTGCTGCTTCACGAAGTTCAAGATTTGCAGCTACCTCATCGGGCTCATCTTCTTAGATTTGTGCTGTAATGAGTAGCGTTAGCTCGTTAGGACTTCTACCGCGACTATGTTTTGGCGCAGCCTCTGAATTATTTACGGAAAAATGAGGATACTGTATGGAAATTTGCATTTCAAAGAATGAAGTGAAGGAAAAAAAAATAAGAAAAAGGGAAAAAAAACCCCAGGCTGTTGCTTTTTAAGGGCTGACTACTACAAGGTCCTGTCTGGGAACTCTGGGATGAGGACTGTCGAGGGTCCCACTCTAAAAATAGCCTTTCCCCAAATGATTTGCTTTTCCCTAGTGGCTTGAATTAAGATTTCCTAAATGCTGAGTGGCCCCCTGGGTAACAATAAAAAGTGAGAACTTTGGAGGCAGTAATCTCGAGCCCTTTTCGAGGGAAGTCGGCGCGCAGAGGCGACGCAGCCGGTGCGCTGGGGCGAGCTCTCGCTTGGGACACCCGAGAAATTAAGGGGATTCCCGTCCGCTGAGCGTTAACTGCAACTCTAGCGAAGAGCCTGAGGATCAGCGATATTTCAGCAAACACGCCGAGGCCTCTCGCATGAGGAAACCTGGATTTTATTGTTTCCTAACTCCTCCGGTAAGCCACTGGCCTTCCTTTAATGATCTGCTGCTTATTTCTGCCGGATTAGGGTTGATATGTCACAATAAACAAGGAGATTTTGATATTAATGCGCTGAGCAGCCCATGTAAGCGCACTAATCCTGTGCTTTCATTGTTCTTAGCGGTCCAACTTAAATCGTGATCAACATCTGTGTTTATGGGGGCGGGGGGGTGGCTTACGAGCGATCCGTTTTTTCCAAAGCAGGAGACAGGGATGTGTTTGGAGCTGGTTATGTCGTTAGAGCTGGGTATTTGTGGGAAGCTTATCTGTTTAAGGGACCATCTGCATTGTCCAGGGAATAAATATACTCGAAGGAGATGCTTTAAAGCGTGGAGGTGAAAAAATACGCGGTGTAGGGATGAAAAATGCAACGTTCTGTGTTGCCAAAGAGGGTCTCAAAGGGGGCGAGGTAGGGACCTGTTAAGAGTTGCCTGCTGCTACGCTGTCACGGCACGGAGAACCCATCCCTCTTGATCTTTATGGATTTATGTCCATATGGGTGGAAAATAGGGGCAGGCATCTAATTAACAGTGCTCATATCCTGAAATGAGGCGTGGAGCCTAAGGGATTCCTCGTAAATACATCAGGCTACGGAAGCTAACAGGCTGTACTGTTGGGGTTCAGTCCCCTGTTTGAAAAAATCCCCGTGGTTTTACAAGCTATGAGAAGAATTTTGTTTCTTGTCTGCCCTCCTCTATCCCTCCAGATAAATCCATCTAGCACACCTATTCCTTGGCCTCTTTCCTGATGTTACCCATGGGCAGGTCAGTCGGTGACAGGGTTGGGAACACGGCTTGGGTCTCCTGTTCCTGGCTGCAACCAAAAGTTGGGAGGGAAAAAAATGCATTAAAGCAGCAGGGGTGCTGAAAAGTCAAGCGATGAAAGCCAGAGAAATGCAGAAATTCGAAGATCAGGAATCTCTTGGTGCACGCTCGGTTTTGCTGTGAATGAGGCCTTGAATCTGTTCCATCTCAGTTTCCTTAATTCTTTTTTTTTTTTAGCTCCTTTCCCGTTAACGGGCCCCATCTCAGTTTCCTTAATTCTTTTTTTTTTTTTTTAGCTCCTTTCCCGTTAACGGGCAGCCCTCGCACTGCACAGTCTAGGAGGGCACACAGATGTGCATTGGTAAGGCTTTGAGGTGCTTTGAGAAACGCCAGCAGGGTGGGAAAAAAGCCGCTGTTGTCAAGGAATTGTCGGTGTTTTTCTAATCAAACCAGATGGGCTGCCTCTCTTTTGAAATGTTGGCAGCCCTACTAAAAATACTTCTATTACGATTTGATTGTCAAAAAGGTAAAAAAGCTTCCCTGGATATATTTTCCTGCCTGATGAGCCTAGGCGACAGCGGCTGGGAATGGAAACGCCGCATCAGCGCAGTTCTACAGCAGCCTCGTGCCGGGGCCTCGCTCTGCAGCTGCGCCCTTGCATCTGGCCATGGGTCAAACCATTGATGAACGAAGAGCTGGGTGTAGAGCTCCTATCTGGTTTTTTTTCCTGCAACATAAAGAGCTGTAATGGAGGGATGGAAGGCTGGAGATTATTAATCACAGGTTCTTAAAAAAATACATATCTGTATTTTAATTATATTCATGGTGGAAGTGAGAGTTCTTTCTTGCCTTGGTGCTATTCCTTAATGCTGACCATAGCAACGTCTGCAATTACCTGCAGGAACCAGATGCATTTGGGCAAAACTGGTAAATTTATGGGTTTTCTGTTGCTCTCCACTCCTTGAAGTTAACATTTTTGGTGTGAGCCCGTGGCCCTCCACAATGCAGAATGCAAAGTGCTCTTAAAGTCATTGGCTTTGTGGTGTTAGGGCAGGGAGAGAGAAGCCAAGAACGCAATGAATGGACTTTGAATTGAAGAAGTCAGAGAGCCTGGTGTGGCTGGAAGCACCTCCTGACGGCTCCGCTTCTCTGGGCTGAACGCTGGAGAGAAGCGGCTCTGGCTTCTCCCACTTCCTAAAGAAAATTCAGCGTGAGGGAGCTGATTCCTTGCTGTTGGCAAACAGTTTTACCACCAGTCCCACGGGCAAGCAGCTCCCTTCTTTTCCTGCACAGGCTAAATGGATTTCATTAAAATTCTGCTGGGTTTGGAGGGTTAAAAAATGATCAATAATCGGCTAAAAATGGAAGACCAAGACCAGGAGGAACATCTGGTGCGTGGGGCTGACTCATGCAGAGCACAGGTTAAGCACAAACCTGCTGTGACTAATCCAAGGAGATATCTACCCTGACCCACTTACCCAGTTACAGTCATAGCCTGGTGGTGCCAACGGTGGCTGCGGTGTGCTCAGCCGGCGGAGCCTGGCCACCGGATACCTGTGCCTGCTGGGGGAGCGTTTGGACCAGCCGCCGTGCCTCCGTGCTACGGAGGGAGGGAGGGTTTGGAGTCGAGTGGAGAGATCAGTTCCAATTCTCCTTGGGGTTTGATCCTCATGCTCTGATCAGAACCTTCGCCAGCCCGAGCCGGAGTAGCTGTGACCGCGGCGCCGGATGCTCGCTCTGCTGCCCGCAGGATCCTCAGGGTGCTGGGAAGCAACAACAGCCGCAGCACGGTGCGGTTTTACCGTGCTCCCGCTCACCTCGCCGCCACCGGTGGGAGTTTGGCTCTTACTTCAGCTGCGGTCCTGATGGGGAGACCTCCTGTGCGAGGAGATGCTCGGCGCTGGTCACGCTGCCCACTTTGAAGAGCTCCCTGAAGTACAAAGTGACGGCGTCTCACTGTGCCTCTCCCTACACAAACTTTCTCCCCAGAGAGCACGTCAACAGGAGTCCCCTTTAAAAATAAAAGCAAGTCATTCTCTGTTAAGAACTCAGTCTGCCTGGCTCTAACGCTTAAAAATAAAACTGGAGGAGGGACAGCGCTCTCGCTGTAATCACCGAGCTGAATGACCACACTGCAAGCAACGTTCCCGCACGCTCTTACAAATCAGGCTGCTGCCCTCCTAGAACGCAGATTTCTAAACGGTGCGATGTTGCGATCTGGAAATTGGTGCAGGCATTTGCATGAGATTTTCTTTCTTTTCCTTTTTTTCTATTTTTTAGAACCCTCCTGCTTCACAACCTTGGCAGGTGAGATCTATTTTAGACCTGTTCTAGGGGAATCACATTTTTGTAGGATTCGTGGTATACCCTGATTTTTATTTCTTTATCTTTTTTTCTTTTTTTAAGCATTAACGTTGCGATAACTTGATCAGCACATTGAAGGGATGAGTCAACCTAGAAACTGGTGGCACTTTATCGCATTGCCAGAGTAACCATCTTCCTGGTAACATATCCCCGTTAGATCTTAATGTGGGAGCGTTGCTGTGGTTTTGCAAAGCGTTCAGCTGCCTCCCAAACCGCACGGGACGGCGGGTGTCGGGAACTGCAACGGAGTTCGTGCCAGTGGGCCAGGGCTTCACTGTGTGTCACAGCTCCTTTGGCTTCTCGTAGGGATGTCACCTGAAGGTGGCTTGCTCTGGTGCTGGCGTCATAGCGGCGGCTCGGGAGCTGCATCGGGACACGGGAGGAGGTGGTCTGGCCGGCGGGTGCTCCGGACAAGGCATCACGTGAAAGATGGAGGTGGGGAGCAGCGGTGAAAGGCAGCAGTGAGCTGTCACTTGCTGGTGAAACTGGGATTAACTCCGAGCTTTGGTCCTAGCCTTGCGCTCGCCTCTGTAGGCCGTGCTCCTGTTCGGCTCTCGCAGGCAG